AGTAGCAGAATCGAAAAAAATATAACAGACTTCTTGTGTTAAACAAAAAAAAATTTACGATCTTATTCTATAAAGTATACACTAACCATTCGTGCAAATACTGATTTACACTAAAGAGAGGAAAGTAACGGGGCAGTACAGCGAGTGCAGTAAAACAGTTGGGTGTGAAGTGAACGGCAGCAGTGTGTTCCATGTTAGTCATTTTGTGTTAGTACGCCGTGATACTAGTATCAACTATTATTTTATAAACAGCATTTCAAATCAAATATGCACACCTCTAGTCTGTACTCAAGATTCTCAGAATTTAGGAGCCTCATGATTTCGAAAATAAATTTAGGCACTGAGATTTCAATAATTATTAATATAAAGAATTAATCGTAAGAATTATTAACATGTGTAATAATAATATACCTATATGCTTTTTAAAACGTAAGCACGCAACGACGAACGGGCCCTGGTTTATCGGCGCTGCATTCCAACGTCGGTAGTGGTTTCGCGTATCCACGGTAATGTTTAAACATTCGTACTTTTTTATGGGATAGAGTGCACTAAAATATTTTTGCACGAGTGGTTAATGTATACTTTATAGAATAAGATCGTAAATTTTTTTTTTGTTTAACACAAGGAGAAGTCTGTTAAATTGTCAATTGTTTATTGGGAAATTTAGTATTATTTAATACTATTAAAAAATTAAATTTTTCCAGTATGAATATTTTTTTCGATTCTGCTACTTTTTCTGAATACACCTTTAAAATTTGGTTATTTTTCATTGAATATTTACGGAAATATAGCAATTAATATATAAAATTGATGAAAAGAAGGTCAAAAATTCATTTATGAATAAATTTTTGAAAAAGTTAAAATTTTCAAAAAAATTTTAAGACGTTAATTTTCACATATAGACCTCTGCCAAAACATATTTGAAATTCGAATACTTACGGCCTTATTCATAAAAAATAAAGTATGTTTAAAGAGCTTTATAAATTGACGTTTTCATACATTTTTCAATTTATAAACCTTTTATAAAGCTACTTTATTTTTTATGAGTAAGGTCATTAATTTTTAGTGGCCCGTTTCAGAAAGGTTGACTCTATTAAATTCTTCAATTTATACGATTTTACCTTTGCTTAAAATTCATATTAAATCTAAAGCTATATAACTCATTCATTAACTCAGTTTAAAAATCATTCGCGCCTAAAATCTCTTAGAACAAATTAAAATAGTAATTGTAATCTTTTAACTTAAATAATACTATCTTATAATTACAAAAGCTTTTAACATGGTCCTTGTGAGCCAAATTTGAATTGGCAATGCAACCTCCGAAAAACTAACTTCAAAAAAAGGGATCACGCGACTCTGTTAGCGACGGCAATTCGTTTTCGTTCCTTTTTTCTTTTCGGCAGCCAACAGCAGCAGACCACCCACTCGGAGCACAACCAAAAAGTAACAAAAAAAAAACTTTACATTATATCGCAAAGTTTCCGTGACAACGTCATAAACCAATGAATTTGGTAAACCCGGAAAGTGAATAAATAGCAAACAGAAAATACCAATTGCTGCCCACCGCGGGACTCAGAACATACCTACTCGACATCTTGCGTCCATCGAGGGAAAACAATTGCAAAGAGAAGTATTCACTCTCTCATGTACATAAGTGCTGAAATTTAAAATTTTTCCCACAATATACCGTCCCAAACCGCACGTTAATATCCATTTGTTCTAATAAAAATACATATGTACGTACATATTATGTACATATACCCTTGCACACTTATGTATGTGCTCTAATAAATATAATCACATACACACAATATACGCCTAAGGGCCGGTTGTTCAATGTCTGGTTATCACTACTTGCCGGTTAGACATCATTATCGACGTTTTTGACACCATGCTTATAACATGTGATCGGTAAAGCAGTCGTTGTATTTAACCGGAGCTTCTACCTCTGATTTGTGCAAATCAGACATTGAACAACCGGCCCCAAGTCAACTACCCGTTGCATTTCAGTTCCCTAACTTCGCGATAGTTTCCATGCATGCCACCCATTCGAGTGTTTATATACAGGCATATGAACCTATGTTCATAAGTGCATTTCGCTGCTTGCGCCCGCGCAATATTTTTTGTATTAAGGGGAGATCAGTCAAGAACGTAAGCCTACCGGTACGTAAACCCGAGTCAGCTGATACGATCTGTTTTACCAGAGCGCCATGTAAATGAAAACTCAACAACGCAGAATTTTTCTGTAGTTGTAGCCCGTAGCGCAGAAATCTGCGGAATTTAGATTTTTCCGTTTCAGCCGATTTCTTCCTTCTATAAATGGTTGCCACTTCGTCCGTTTTGTAGATGGTAAAAAAGTTATAAGTTCCTTTTCAAAATACGTTTAAAATATTTGAAATTTACTATCGAATAAGGTTTTTTGTTGAAAAATAAGTAGTTTATATTTAGCTAGCATCTATTATAGCATGAAAGTTGTAGTTGAAAAGGTAAGTTTATGAAAGTTTATTGATGAGTGGCAACACTGTAGTAAGCAACACTGAGGGATCCAGTAATCGAGCGTATACAGACAGCGTTTAAGTATAAGTTCTGCGTTCTTGACTAATTTCACCTTTAGACGTTCCATGTTCCGCAGCCGTACGGCGCTGCTGCTATCGCTTTAAAGCCCTAGTCGATGTTCAGACACGAAATCTTTTGTTGAGGAAACTCGAAGCTTGTAAGGGAGAGAGCGACGAGGAAAGGGGACGGGTACCGAGTCGCCTGTACTCGGGAAACACGCTTTGTGCTCTTCTTCGTCTGAGTAATTCAAGTTAGCGGTACCAATTCGCTTTGTTTGTCTGCGTTCAAACACGGAAACTCGAGTTTCTTATTATCGGCGATTTCTCTTTTGGTGTTGCCCTTTGCCTTCACACACAGAAACTCTTTTTTACGCAATTGTTGTTGTCAGCTGTGAATCGCCAACTTGAATTACTCAGACGAACGAGAGCACAAAGCGTGTTTCCCGAGTACGGGCGCCTCGGTACCCGTCCCCTTTCCTCGTCGCTCTCTCCCCTACAAGCTTCGAGTTTCCGCAACAAAAGTTTTCGTGTCTGAACGTCGACTTTCGAATATTCCCTAATTTCACTTGTGCTCATTCTTAATTCGTTGTTTTTTGCTGTGCTTGCGTAAGCGCAGAAGAGCAAAGAATACCGCTTGCACACACGATCCAGAAAATAAAGGTCGCGCCATTCACGAACCACTAACCCTCTCTTCGTCGATTTGACAGCATCCACCCAATCGCTGACGTCATAATATACTTTTGTTTACATTCACTGTTGCCAACTTCATGCTTTTCGCACCAAATTTAGTGGGTATTCAAAACGCGAAAATTTTTGAGTTTTGTGCTTGGTGCGTTTTTGGTGCTTTTGTTTTTAGTTTGAAGACTTCAAATTAGAAAATCTTAAAAAAAATTGAAGCAAAATTTATAGCAATCGTAAGTGTGATAAGCAATTTTACAAAAATTTTAACAAAATCATGTCACAGTGACAATCATAAGCGCCAACGAAATATGGGCAGCACCTTCAATCATGCCAGAAGAAATCGACCGTTGTGCAAGAAACATTGATTTTTATTAATTTGAATCGGCATCCTTACAATAAATTTATGTATTCATATAAAGTCCATAAAATAGACCAATAAAAATTTGGTGCTTTTTCAAATTCAAAACTTGGCAATACTGTCTTTTGTTCGATGCTTCTTCTTTTTCTTGTCGAGTTCGCCTTGCTCTCTCATTCTGGTACATTTTGACGTCACGGCCAGTTGCTCTCAGCTCGATTGGCGCAATCTTGTATTCTATCATTCTTGGCTCCAATCTGCCTATTCGCTATCCCATTTATCTTCAGTTTCAAATTTGCTGGATTAATGCTTTCTTTAACTTCGCTCTTTGTAATTTGGCTTTGTTGTGTTGCTTTCGGTTTTAGTATCACCTGCGCACAGCTCTGCTTCTTTCTCACCATCACGGCATATGTTTCTTTAGGCATTTCATTTTTGTTGGCTTGCACACATTTTTTAATGTACATATGTATGTACATCAAAGTCGATACCCCGTAGGAAAAAATTCTGCCGTTGCATACCGACCACGTACACATGTACATGCCCGTTGTTAGTGCACATCTGTATGTATGAACTTGCGTTTACAAAATAAAAAACCTAAATAAAACCTGCAGGTTTTCCAAGCAGAGTTTTTACCCAACAGTTCATTTTTGCTTATACCCATTAGGAAAGATCTTGCACACTTTCAAAACATGTGTCTTTTCAAAAATATATCAGATATAAATATAAAAATCAAGTCATACTAGATATGATCTCAGCGCAAGCGATTTTTTTTTTAAATAAAAGCAATTTTTGCTACTTAAAATTTCCAACCGACTCAATGAAACCTCTGCTCCGTTCGGCAAAAGCCACGTCAGATTCCATAATGACAAATAAACCATCATTATTCGCGAAGTTTACCTTCGGTTCAAACTACCTCCTAAATTTTTGTACACATTTTGAAAAAGCTAAACCGAAAGATCATACATGTACTTTACTTGAAGTTAAGTTACAAGATATCCAATCTCGTTGGAAAACCCTGAAACTTTCGTAAAAAAATCTATATGCGAATGATGAGAATTTAATTTATTCAAAAATTAAAAAAGGAGCATACATACGGTGACTATCCGCCCTTTATTTCAAAGGGCAGTCCTTTATTTTAACCCTCTGTCCTTTATATTTTTTTTCAAAATAAAGGAACCGTTGTGCCCCTTATTTCTTAAACTGTCCTTTAAATCAGCTCTGCATTTTTCAGAGGTAAATTTTTCAGAATAAGAAAAATAAAAATGTTCCTTATAAAATATAATGAAAATCTTCGCCATATAAAGAACAGGGAAAGTTGTGCACAGGATCGTGGTGCACGCTGAGTTTCCAGTTCCATTGAAAGAGAACAATAAACCCCCTGCTGCACTGTGGTCTAAAGTGGCATTTACAGCCGTATTCTAACAAAGTCACAAATTTTAGCTCATCACTGCTATGATTTCTACCGCGCCTCAAAGCTTGCCGCTGCAAAAAATATGCCGCTACCAAGGTGTATTAAACAAGGCGTGATTGACAACTCAGTGCGGCTCTCTTTTAAGGTACTATAATGTCAAAAAGTATAAACAAACGAATTAACCCTTAGTGATGCATGTATCTTGTCAGCACTGATACCAAGGCTTTTATTTTGATTTTATTTTTGTTTTACTTACATTACCTGGAATATATATATTTTGTCAATAAAATAAAACAAATTGTTTATAAAATCGTTTTAGCAATTTTCTTGTTTTTAATTGCCCAAGTTTTATGCTTTTGTGCGTTTATTTTTATGTTTAAATAGAAGTATAATTTTACATTTATTTCCAATTTTATATGAGAGCTTAACTCTAACAATTTTGAAAATAAATTTTTTTTATGCGAAATAGTTTGTTTATAAACGAGCTCGTTTGAAAGTGCTTGACTCGCACGGACAACAAATGAAATCACTTTCCTTGAAGTGGTTTTCACAAACGCGAGATGAATCACGTAGTACAACACTACATCGCTGCCGTCTTAACTCGCAACTAGGTGGTTTAAAACATCGCTCTATTTTCGTGTCCTGACTTCTATTGCATACAGCGCACCGTTCAAAAGTTTTGCTCCGTTTCATCTTACTTATTACCAAACTTTAAATGTGCTTACTTGCTCTCCTCGGCGGTTTATCTCTTAACAATTTCACGTTTATTAAGAAAATTTGTTACTTGAGAAATTTTTGTGTAAATTTTTTTTAAACAAATTCAAATTTGAAAAAAAAATATTTTTAAATAGGTTAACAATTCATATCAATTTGACATTATAGCCTGTTTCTTATGAGAGCAATGTCAAAATCAATCACACTTTGTTGAATACATTTTGGCCGCTACAATTCAATTTTTTAAATTTTTGTGTATTTTTCTAGCACTCAAAATCGAATTTTTTGTGACACATTTCTCGGCGCACTTGAAATCACAACAGTGATGAGCTAAGTTTTGTGACTCTGTTAGAATAGAGGGGTTAGTGTTCGTAATTCACTGGAGCCTTAATTTTTTTCACTTAATTTGATAATTTTTTTTATTAAAGCTTATAATATTTGCAAGATACCAGTTGAGCCTGATTTGTTAATTTTTATTTGATTATATTAAATTTTTTGGTGCAAAATGCTGAAAAAGTGGCAGTTTTGAAGAAAATGGAAAATACGTTAGTTAATAAATGTTACATAACAAAGACTAGTTAAAAACAATTTTATGGTTCCCCAAAACGAAAAAATTACAAAAAATTTTTGAAATGTTATAAAAAAGGTTCACAAAAATAATTTGTTTTTTGGTTTTTAGTAAAAATTGGTTGAAAAATGAAGACTGCGGTGAATTACGAAATTAAATTCCAATTTTGAACCTCTGTGTGCTGACTTCGGTAAATGTATTTTGGCAGCAAAGGATGACGAAGTCCTTGAAAAGGATTTGGCTTCATTTTCCGGAATCGGTTAATTAACTGGTAAATATTTGATTTATATTACGATATGGGTAAGGTACTTTTATCGTACAAGTTGTATGTACGTATTCCCAAATAATTTTGAAAAAAACGTCCTTTATTTTACATTGGTTAATATGGTCACCGTAAGCTTGGATGTATGCTGTTATTCCAGTTATGTAATAATAGCTTCGATTTTTGCAAATCCCAAATTCTCTATCAGCATAAATGTCAAGCTAACTCAAGCAACATTGGTAAAACAAAATAATATATTTATCCGAAAAAACTCCAATTTCTAATTGATCATATTCTCAGGAAACCCCTTTTTTTAAATGCAAATTGTGCATTCATAATCATCCTTTGAAATTGTGTCCCATATTTCGGAGTTTAAATGTTCCTTGAAAAAAGCGGCTATTGCACCAATTGCTTGGCACGCAATCATATACGTACCCATTCTCGAAAGAGTCGCCAATACTTTTATTACACAGAATCCCATCATACAGTGTTGAATCCCAAATCGGCTATGAAGCCAACATCTAAGGCAAAAGTTTGTGAAGAAAAAATAAATAAAAATCTTCAAATAAATCTTCTTTATAGCTGGTACAATCAACCTCATCGTGTTGGTCCCCTTGCCGTGGGGATAAGGCTTAAGTGGTGGTTTAAATCTTCCTTCGGGGGGCTTTAAGCCAGCACGAACCAAGAGAGAAGCTCCGTGTGGAGCTTGGTTGACCACCCATCTGCGTAACTGCGGGTGCCGTGTTCCTCCAATCATACATACGGAGAGGACCGTACCGCCGACTCCCCCATGCTCGTCCTACTTACGAACCCTTCTCTCCCATCTCGCCCTATCCTTCCCCCCTAATCCAGGGTGTTACGCGTCACCTTGCCTATTAGATGGTTTGCAGCCAGGGGTATCCGGTTGTATTCTAACGGCGCTCTCCTGATACCGGGTCACCTCAGGAGGTAGAATGACCTTGCCACGGCGGAGGGGACCGCTGTGGTCGAGGTCTCCCTTTCGCCCCCCCGTAAATACGTAGTCCGCCACGCTCGCCACGTCGAGCAGTGCGGACGTTTATGAAACATGAATCCAAAAAAAAAACCCGCCTCGGATAACCGAGAACCCCCCAAAAAAATTAGACCCACCCATTTAGGAAGGTCTGGTCTGCCCTCGGACAAAAACTGTATTAATGCATTTCTCTTGATACCGTTTAGTGATGCGGACAACGTCATCATAGCAGTGGAATCAAGCGGAATGTCGATTTGGCTGGCTTCCACATACATGGCCCACGACGCAGACACACCACCTCCACCACAATCCTTAAGGAGCGCGGTAATGGAGGCATCTAGAGGCGGCACTCCGATGGTCATTGGAGCGGACGCGAATGTCCATCATCATATATGGGTCACCTCAGACACAAATGAACATGGTGAGTCGATATTCGAATTTATTATGTGTAATAACTTACAGGTTAGCAACGTAGGTGATACCCCTACCTTTGTGACGTCTGTTAGAAGGGAGGTCCTTGACATTACATGTGTCAATGAGTAGGGGCAGAACTCCTGAATAACTGGAGAGTCTCTAAAGGTAACTCCTTTTCAGATCACATGTACGTGATTTATAACCTATACGCACCAGTAAGAAAACAACAAGCGGTCTTAAACCGCAGAAAAACAAATTGGAAAAAGTTTGAAACAACCTTTTCTAATAATATTTCCGACCTCACAAATCAAATAAACTCGGAACATCAACTTGATAACGTTGTAGACGATATAACTAAAGCACTTCATCGTGCAGCAAAAGTAGCCTGCCCAATCAGGGCAACAAGCAGGAAACCGAAACCTCCATGGTGGTCCACTGAAATCGCAACCCTCAGAAGGGAATGCAGATCAAAATTTAATTAAGCTAAGAGATCCAAATCTTGGAGTGAATTTAAAGACTGGTAACGCCGATTTAAGTATGCAATAAGAGACGCTAAGCGCTCCTCATGGAGGAACTTCTGTCAGAAGATAGAAAGTACTTCGGAAGCCAGCAGATTGCGCAAAATACTATCTAAGAGCCCCAGCAATATTAGCTATCTCATCAAGGAGGATGGTGATTGGACAACTAGCAGCGAAGAAACTCTAGAGCTTCTAGTACAATGGCACTTTCCGGGTTGCCTCCACAGTAGAGCCACCAATCCCCGAAGCCCAGACAACCATGATGACATTCCAGCGAATATCATTACCGAGGGGAGCATAAAGCGTGCTATTAGCAGCTTCCAACCGTTTATGTCTCCGGGACCAGACGGAATTATTTCCGCTGACCTACAGCATACAGCAGGAATGATTGCACCCATACTCGTACCAGTCTTTGAAGCAGTGTTACGACTTAATTATATACCCCACAAATGGGAGGAGGTAAGAGTGGTTTTCATTCCCAAGGCAGGGAAAACTACACACACGAGACCAAAAGACTTCAGACCAATTAGTCTGTCGTCTTTCCTTCTGAAATCTCTAGAGAGACTAATAGATGGGCATATTATAGACAAGGTGGGCAGCAAACTTTCGGCAGCCCAACATGCCTACAACAAAGGGAGATCAGTTGAAACAGCACTCCATTCCTTAGTGCAAACAATTGAAAGATTACAAAGAATACACTCTCGCGGCCTTCCTGGACATCGAGGGTGCTTTCAACAGTGTATCTCCTGCAGCGATTATCTCATCTCTGACAAATCTGGGAGTAAGCAATTCACTAACCCCCATTTATTGAACGAATGTTAATCGGTCGAGAAATAAGCGCAGGATTAGGTGAATCAGTAATAAAAAGGTTCCCCGTCAGGGGTACACCCCAAGGGGTGTAATATCACCGCTCCTATGGAACATAGCAGTAGACAGCCTTCTACGGGAACTTGAAGATNATCTTGGAGTGAATTTAAAGACTGGTAACGCCGATTTAAGTATGCAATAAGAGACGCTAAGCGCTCCTCATGGAGGAACTTCTGTCAGAAGATAGAAAGTACTTCGGAAGCCAGCAGATTGCGCAAAATACTATCTAAGAGCCCCAGCAATATTAGCTATCTCATCAAGGAGGATGGTGATTGGACAACTAGCAGCGAAGAAACTCTAGAGCTTCTAGTACAATGGCACTTTCCGGGTTGCCTCCACAGTNCCCATTTATTGAACGAATGTTAATCGGTCGAGAAATAAGCGCAGGATTAGGTGAATCAGTAATAAAAAGGTTCCCCGTCAGGGGTACACCCCAAGGGGTGTAATATCACCGCTCCTATGGAACATAGCAGTAGACAGCCTTCTACGGGAACTTGAAGATATCGGCGGTCAGATAATTGCATACGCCGACGATATTGTAATAGCTATTTCGGGTAAACATCTCTCAACATTGACAGATCTGATCCAAAGATCCCTCAACAAAGTATCCCTGTGGTGTAACAGGCGAGGACGGGGAGTGAACAGACCTTGTGCTGTTCACTAGGCAGCACAAGATACCTGATCTCGGGAACATAACTCTAGAGGACAACACCCTCGCAATAAAGGAAGAGACCAAATATCTAGGTCTAATA